CCTCCCCCTCCCCACCCCAGAAGGGTCCTCAGGAGTGGTCAGGAGGGACCGAGAGACGGAGCAGGTGGCTCCTTGCAGTGGCAAAGGGGTTACAGATTCTCCTCCCCCCTCCCTCCCCGTGGGCGCTGTCACATTTACGCAAACACAATTTCCAAGCTTCTTGTCATCTGTCAACGTGTCCTTCCTCTCTTCTCCCCATCTCACATCTCCTCCTGATCTCCGCCCCCCGCCTTACAGCCCCGCCCCTTAGCAGCCTCAGCTCCTCCCCCCTCCCTCCCCCTTTCCGCCTTCCCAGCCGGGACTCCCCGTTTCTCCGCTGGGCATCCGCGTCCATGGTTCCTCTGCCCATGCGAAGAGTGCCCTGCTGTGCCCGGGCGGGGCTGCCTCCTGCTCCAGCATCTGGGTGGAAACTGAAGATCCGCGATGGCTTTTTGGGGGGGAAGCAGGAGCGACAGGAACCCCCCCCCCGTCCCTTCGAGGAGGGCTCCTCTCCGGCTGGGTCTTTGCGGAGCCCAACCGAGGACGGAGAGGGAGGGGCTGGCCGGGGTCCTCAGGAGTGGGCGGGAGAGAGGGAGAGACCGGGCAGGTGGCTCCTTGCAATGGCAAAGGGGTTACAGATCCTCCTCCCCCCCTCCCCGTGGGCGCTATCACATTTTTCAACAAACCTACAGGTAGTCCTCAACATATGACCACAATTGAGCCCAAACTTTATGTTGCTAAGTGAGACATTGGTTATGGGAGTTGTGAGTTTTCCCCCATGTTACGAACATTTTTCCTACAATGGTTAAGTGAATCCCTGCAGTGGATAAGTTAGTAACCCGGTCGTTAAGTGAATCCTGCTTCCCCATGGACTTTGCTTGTCTTTGGGAGGTCGCAAACGGGACACATCAACGGTCATAAGTACGAACCAGTTGGCAAGCATCCGCGATTCAGAAGTCACTTTCTTCGTTGCCCTTGTGACTTTGAACGGCCACTAAATGAGATTTAAGTCGTGGATTGCCTGTGTTTTTCCGGTTATACTTGTCCCGTAAGCCAAATGGGGTGAAATGCTTTGGGCAGAGGCTTTTACGAGAGAGGAACCAGAGGGAATTCCAGAAGGAAGGTGAAAGTCTGGCTGAGTTGGGAGGAGAAGAGAGGAAGGACACGTTGACAGATGACAAGAAACTTGGAAATTATGTTTGCTTAAATGTGACAGCACCCACGGGGAGGGGGGGAGGAGAATCTGTAACCCCTTTACCATTGCAAGGGGCCACCTGCTCAGTCTCTCCCTCCCTCCTGACCACTCCTGAGGACCCTTCTGGGGTGGGGAGGGGGAGGGAAGACCCTGGAGGGAAGCTGAAGGGATCGAATGGAGCCAGGATGAGATTTACCCACCAGCAGGGAAGCTTCACTGGAAGAATAATAATCCCCCATATCATATTTCTGCATGCCACAGAAACATCATGAAAGTGGGCAATACATTCATTTTTAATCACAGAACTTCTCCCCAACAACAGTTGTAATTTCCACTTCTTAACACATCCTTCTTGATTTCATCCCATGCCTTCACATAATTATTTTGACATACAATTTTTCCATTGATATTTCTGTTCCTTACAAAAGGTTTTCCAAAATTAGGCCTGAATTATCAGCAAATGCCCTTCTTTTCCCCAGGTGTTGGGATTTTTATGATTCAGGCTTCTATAGTAAGACTAGGCCAGTGGCCAGCTTGCGTATTAGATGCCTAGGACAATAAGTAGGGAATGATTGTTGGGAATGATTATTGCAATGGTCAGGTAATTTTGCTTTGCATTAGCTAAGAATCTGACCATGTACAAAAAGCAAGTAAGAAAATGTAGCTGCATTGTATGTGTTATATCCTGTTCCAAACCACATAATGTTTCCCTGCCTTGCTGTATCTGAACATCTTGTAACA